CTTTTGTAGTGTCCGCCTCAGGGACCACGGCCTTGAGAACGCGCATTCACACTCCCTGGAAGCATAATCCGACACCTGACTGCGTCCGTGTGTGTGTGTGTGTGTGTGTGTGTGTGTGTGTGTGTTGTGTTTGTGTTTGTGTGTGCGTGTGTGTGAGGGAGGAGAGAGAGGGGGTAGTGGGAGCGAGTGAGAGGGAGAGAGAGAGGAGCCCGTGATGGTGTCCGTGTGGGTGTGTGCGGTATATGGGGATCCACACAGGCAGTCGGCACTTCGTTTAGTTCTGCCCAGTCTAATTGATAAGGATAGGAATGTGGAATGGAAGGAACGTTGTTGTTGTGCTGCGCGGAGAGCCGTGGCACTGTGAAGCAGTGCGCGCCGCCTCCAGGCCGCCACCCCCAAGGGCATACGGTGCGAAGGTACCGCCTCCCACGCCACGCCGTAAATTTGAACACACACACACACACACACACACACACACACACACACACACACACACACACACGAACACACGCGCGCGCTATGAGGCTGGAAAATTAACATGTTCCTGAATGCATTAAATGTTATGCATCCGCAGCGAGGCAAAGCAGAGCATGTCTGGACATCTCTCCTCACAAATAACAAGTAGTCGTAGTAGGAGCTCCTTTTCCTCACACAACTAATCACTCTTTCTCACACCGCGGGCGCTGCGGCTGTGACGCGCCGACCATGCCGGACCACGCTGCGCGGGGGAAAGAGGGGAGGGGTGCCGCGATTTCCGACGAAATTTTGGCTGAACAGCAGAACACAGTGTTTTTCCAGGCTGCGTATGCTGAGCAGCGGGACCGAATTTGGCAAAAAAGTGTGATTTTGTCCATTTTTCTTTTCTCCGCGTTCTGATTGGCCGTCGATGGCGCGCGGCGCGTAGCGCAGTGGCGACTAATCAAGCCATTCCGACCGCAGCAACACAAAGCCCGTCGTCCTCGTGCCGCCCCGCCCCGCCCCGCCCCGCCAGGCCCGCGACCATCCCAGGCTTTATCATCTTATTATTCCTCGTAAGCATCTTCATTAGGCGGGCCGTTTTGGAACGGACCGGTTCGCTGTCTCGCTCTGTCTCGCTCTGTCATCCGAGAGGGACCGGCCAGCCAACGGCAAGCCAAGCGGCCGCTTCGGTTCCGAGTTTGGTGGCCCTGTCCTTCCTTGTCGCACCCCTACGGGCCGCCCCGCGAGCAGAGCAGTGCGAGGGAGAAGAAGGCACGCTGTCCGGAGGCGGCCTCCTGCCGCGGCCTGCCACGGACACCACTATTTACACACAGCGCGTGGAAATAACTCTGGGGATTCCGTCGCGGGTCGCGGCGACCAGGGCGGCCAGCCAGGCAAGCCAGGCCGCCAGCGCACCAGCCATGCGGGCAGCGTCACCTGGACTGCCTGCCGCCAGCCTTCGAGGCAAGGCAGCCTTCGAGACAAGGCAGACTTCCAGGCAAGGCAGACTTCCAGGTAAGCCAGCCTTCGAGGTAAGCCAGCCTTCGAGGCAAGCCAGCCTTCCAGGCAAGCCAGCCTTCGAGGCAAGCCAGCCTTCCAGGCAAGGCAGCCTTCGAGGCAAGCCAGCCTTCGAGGCAAGCCAGCCTTCCAGGCAAGCCAGCCTTCCAGGCAAGCCAGCCTTCGAGGCAAGGCAGACTTCCAGGTAAGGCAGCCTTCGAGGTAAGCCAGCCTTCGAGGCAAGGCAGCCTTCGAGGCAAGGCAGCCTTCGAGGCAAGCCAGCCTTCGAGGCAAGCCAGCCTTCGAGGCAAGCCAGCCTTCGAGGCAAGGCAGCCTTCGAGGCAAGGCAGCCTTCGAGGCAAGCCAGCCTTCGAGGCAAGCCAGCCTTCCAGGCAAGCCAGCCTCCAGGCAAGCCAGCCTTCGAGGCAAGGCAGCTTCCAGGAAGGCAGACTTCGAGGAAGCCAGCCTTCGAGGCAAGGCAGCCTTCGAGGCAAGGCAGCCTTCGAGGCAAGGCAGCCTTCGAGGCAAGGCAGCCTTCGAGGCAAGGCAGCCTTCGAGGCAAGGCAGACTTCCAGGCAAGGCAGACTTCCAGGTAAGCCGGCCTTCGAGGTAAGCCAGCCTTTCAGGCAAGCCAGCCTTCCAGGCAAGCCAGCCTTCCAGGCAAGCCAGCCTTCGAGGCAAGGCAGCCTTCCAGGCAAGCCAGCCTTCCAGGCAAGCCAGCCTTCCAGGCAAGCCAGCCTTCCAGGCAAGCCAGCCTTCCAGGCAAGCCAGCCTTCCAGGCAAGCCAGCCTTCCAGGCAAGCCAGCCTTCCAGGCAAGCCAGCCTTCCAGGCAAGCCAGCCTTCGAGGCAAGGCAGCCTTCGAGGCAAGCCAGCCTTCCAGGCAAGCCAGCCTTCCAGGCAAGCCAGCCTTCAGGCAAGGCAGCCTTCCAGGCAGCCAGCCTTCCAGGCAAGCCAGCCTTCCAGGCAAGCCAGCCTTCGAGGCAAGGCAGCCTTCGAGGCAAGCCAGCCTTCGAGGCAAGCCAGCCTTCCAGGCAAGCCAGCCTTCCAGGCAAGCCAGCCTTCGAGGCAAGGCAGACTTCCAGGTAAGGCAGACTTCGAGGTAAGCCAGCCTTCGAGGCAAGGCAGCCTTCGAGGCAAGGCAGCCTTCGAGGCAAGCCAGCCTTCGAGGCAAGCCAGCCTTCGAGGCAAGCCAGCCTTCGAGGCAAGGCAGCCTTCGAGGCAAGGCAGCCTTCGAGGCAAGCCAGCCTTCGAGGCAAGGCAGCCTTCCAGGCAAGCCAGCCTTCGAGGCAAGGCAGCCTTCCAGGCAAGCCAGCCTTCCAGGCAAGCCAGCCTTCCAGGCAAGCCAGCCTCCAGGCAAGCCAGCCTTCCAGGCAAGCCAGCCTTCCAGGCAAGCCAGCCTTCCAGGCAAGCCAGCCTTCCAGGCAAGCCAGCCTTCGAGGCAAGCCAGCCTTCCAGGCAAGCCAGCCTTCCAGGCAAGCCAGCCTTCCAGGCAAGCCAGCCTTCCAGGCAAGCCAGCCTTCCAGGCAAGCCAGCCTTCCAGGCAAGCCAGCCTTCCAGGCAAGCCAGCCTTCCAGGCAAGCCAGCCTTCGAGGCAAGCCAGCCTTCCAGGCAAGCCAGCCTTCCAGGCAAGCCAGCCTTCGAGGCAAGGCAGACTTCCAGGTAAGGCAGACTTCGAGGTAAGCCAGCCTTCGAGGCAAGGCAGCCTTCGAGGCAAGGCAGCCTTCGAGGCAAGCCAGCCTTCGAGGCAAGCCAGCCTTCGAGGCAAGCCAGCCTTCGAGGCAAGCCAGCCTTCGAGGCAAGGCAGCCTTCGAGGCAAGGCAGCCTTCGAGGCAAGGCAGCCTTCGAGGCAAGCCAGCCTTCCAGGCAAGCCAGCCTTCGAGGCAAGGCAGCCTTCCAGGCAAGCCAGCCTTCCAGGCAAGCCAGCCTTCGAGGCAAGGCAGCCTTCCAGGCAAGCCAGCCTTCCAGGCAAGCCAGCCTTCCAGGCAAGCCAGCCTTCCAGGCAAGCCAGCCTTCCAGGCAAGCCAGCCTTCGGGGCAGTCTTCAGGGCCTTCGGAGTGTCCAACGCCTACCTTCGGTGGTGTCGGCCAGCATGTCATGTTTTCCGCGATGTTCATTCGGCGTTTTACCTCCGGCCCTTTTCCCGTCCTCGCACAGTGTAGTGGCGCGAGGCGAGCACGGCGAGCGACGAGGTCCTTCCTAAAACAATTTCAGAGCGGCCTCTCTTAAATTCCGCATCAGCCCGCGGAGCGTCCACAGAGCAGGGGAATCGGCGGCGTGCCGAGGTGCGCGCCCGGAGCGGACTGACTGCGAGCACGTCGCTCCGTCCCTCTCGCACACCCACGGGTCACTTCTGGGTGCGAGAGAGAGCGGGCGACGCCGGATTGGATTCTCGGGGCGTCACGGCGTCACTACTGTACGCCGAGGTGGTGGTGGTGGTGGGGGCGGCAGCGCGGCGGTCGTGACTGGCCGCCGGTGCGGATCGCCGATGGAGCGGCCAGGCCGGCCAGGCGCAGCCTTTACGAGCGGCAGGCCGGCAGGGACATAAGTATCTGCAGCGGCGTGGAGCCGCGGTGCCGCGGCGTTGGGCCCAACAAAGCGTGGATCCGAACGGACGGGGAAAAAAATAAAATATGAAAGTGGCGGTTGGGCTGGGCAGCGCGCCTCTTGCCGCCCCGCCCGGCGTTTAGGTCACCGCAGCCACGCCGCGGTCTGCAGTGCCGCGCAGTGCGGTGCAGCCGAAGCGGAAGTAGTCCGAGAGAAGGGCGAGGCGGAAGGAACGCTGCCCGAAGACCGAACTGCACGGCGGCAATAACATCGAATACGGCCGGTCGGCCGAGCCACGCCGCGTTTATCATTCAAACACATCTCTGACAATTATGGCGCGAGTTACGACGCGGCTCGGCCGTCCAAAGCCAGGGCCAGAGTCCAGAGCCCCGGTGCGGCCGCTGGGGCACTGCCGGGGCATGCAGGGGCTCAACCATACGGCCCGCACCTCGTCTAATGACGTGTAATGCCCCCGTTCGAACCGGCACTAGGCAACCTGCAGACTCACTCCGATAGAGTCGCTCTGTCTCTCTCGCACCCATGCGGGACGCCCCATGAGTGCGAGAGAGACAGAGCGACGACTCTCTGAATCAGTCTGCTGGCCGTCGTTCCAGCCACCCCAGCCGCCTGCCCTGCACGGCGCTGTTTGATCCGAAAACAATAACAATCAAGCGATTAAAAAACTGCAGTCATTGTTTTTGCCCGCTCGCCGCACTTGCGTAATCCACCTTCCCAGCGCGAACGGCGAGCGGCCACGCGGAGGTTAAATGCAGATTGAGCATTTAGCGCGCGATCGTCGTGCGAATAGCAGCGCGCCGCTTGCAGTGTGCCGCTCGCGCCACTAATGGCCAGGCTTGTGCGAATCGGCAGGGCAGGAATTAGCGGCCCGGTCAGGCCCATGAATAGCCACCGTGTCATTCGCTCCAATTAAACCGCGTTCAACGACATGCACCTATTTGATATGCGTGGGAGCTGGGGAATCGTCAAGTAGTACAGCCAGTTTCAATAGCTTGGAAATGTTTATGTTTATTATCAAACAATAACACTAACTGCCCGTCAATATACAATACTCGGCGCCACGGCGTAAAAAGCCTGCAGCAGGCGCCTATCACAACATGTTTGATAGATAAGATAAAATTTGTCCCCGTACACTTCGAGGCATGTCTGATTTGTTAAACATATTTCTCATTTTCTTATTATGACTAGAATAATCATTTTATATGTATTTACATACATTAAAAGGAACTTAAAACAGTGCTGTGGTTCACCTAAATAACATTTTTCTTTATTAGAGATCTACGAAACGTTTTTATGAGTTTGTACTTTTAGTCAAATAAAAAAAAAACACTCTCATTCCAAAAGGATTTGAGTTTGTGTCATACATTCCCGACATTGATGATATGTTCTACGGAGAGCGAGCGCGTCTTTTTGATCGATAATTGATATGACAACGAGTCAGTCAGTTTGATGCTCGATTTGCTGATATGCTTAGCGACCTTTAAAACGTTTGCACGATTTTTGTCGGTCCTTCCTCACCACCAAGACAGACCTCCGTAGATTCTCAGACAACACTCAAGTTTTTACAAAAATAGGTTAATTATTCACTTTGCCGGCGAGCGCAAGAGCTTGCCGCCTTGCTGTCCCCAGCACCTTCTTGGGTTGGCGCGACGCTTCAGGTTTCGAAGTTCACTTATCACAGATGGAAACGATCGGTAGGAAATCGACCGCCGAGATCTGGAATCAAAGACAGAAGGAACATTTTGAGTACGACGGTGTGAATAAACCAGTAGTGCCCCTTCCTTGCGCGGGGCCTATGGCCCTGGCCTGGCCCTCTCCACGGCAACTTCGGCGCCTATCTCCCACCCACATCGGCCACCCCCAAAGTCTCCCCATCCCCCCAGGCGGCGCTTTCCCCGACCGTGGAAATTATTTGGCGGGAGATTGCGGCCAGATCAGCACTTTCGGGCGTCGTTACTAGTTAGTCGCGGAGGAACGTTTGTTTTAATTTCCCGCGGATAACATCGCCGCAATTTTATTACGACCCCGCGGAGGGCGCTCGGCAGAGACAGCGGCAAAAATCAAGCGGAGCTCATTTAGGCAATTAAGGCGCGTTTTGTTGCTCCTCTCTCTCTCTCTCTCTCTCTCTCTCTCTCTCTCTCTCTCTCTCTCTCTCTCTCTCTCTCTCTCTCTCTCTCTCTCTCTCTCTCTCTCTCCCTCTCTCTCTCTCTTTCTCTCTCACCTCGTCCTCACGACTCCACGGCCTCGACGGGCTGCCGGCCCCGCGACAGCAGGGACTCGATGCTGAAGGAGCTCAGCTTGACCGGGCTGCTGCGGAGGCTGTTCTTGTTGTTGGTCTCCTCGTTGTTGTTGTTGTTGAGCAGCAGGGGCATCGGCAGTGGCAGGGGTGAGGGCTTGGCCGCCACGGACGAGAAGGGCCTGGCCAGGGCGGCCTCGTCCCACGACGGCGTGCTCGCGGCCTCGGACGGCGAGGCGGCCGCCAGCTCGCGCTTGACGTAGTTGATGGGGCCGAGGCCGGCGGGGTGGCCGCTGGCGGCGACGGCGTCCTCGTGGCCGCCGTCCTCCGGCGCCGCCGTGCTGCTGGACTCGTAGTCCATGCTGTCGTCCTCGCCCACCACGTCGATGTCGCTGCAGTCGTCGTCCACGGAGGAGCCGGCCGCCGTGCTGGACGCGCTGCTCTTGGAGCGGCCCGCGTTGCGGCTGCCCACGAAGGACCCCCGCGCCTCCCACTCGCGGCGCAGCGTCTCCAGGTCCACCGTGATGCCCTTGGACGCCAGCTTCCTCTGCGACAGGAAGGAAATGTCGGTCAGAGGTTCAAGTCCCGCGGAAAACAACTCGTTTCGGTTTGACCAAAGCGTTGAAACCTACCTGCTGGCGCTGCAGGGCGCGGAGGATCTTCTTCTCGCGGCGGTCCTGCTCCTTCCGGCGCAGCTCCTCCTCGGGGATGGGCTGGCCGCTGCAGGTCTGGGGGTGCGCGTTGTGCGCGGGCCGGCCGGGGCCCTTCTTGGTGTGCTCCTTCTTGCGCCACTTGGCCCGCCGGTTCTGGAACCACACCTGCGGGGCAAAGAGGGGCGAAAGCGCTCGGTTAGTCCGTGAGTTCGCGCGGCCAGCATAAGCACAGTGCCAGCCCGGCTGCCCCAAGGCCTGCCCCGCGCGCCGCCGTGCCACATGTTGCCTTGTTGCGAGTCTATAACGCGGAGGTAATGGGCTTGGCCCAACTCGGATGGTTCCCCGGGGAACCCTGGTCGCCCCGCCTCCCCCGCCACCGACGCCCCACGGCTTCGCGCCGCCCCCGCACCGCCCGCGCGCCGCCCCCGCGCCCCGCCAGTCGGCGCAAACAGGGTGGTGCGGTCTCCACCCGCTGCCGCCCGAGCTCCCCCAGCTTCCCCGTTAGCCACTTTGCGCGCCCACCCTTCCTCCCGCCGGCCTCCCCTCCCCACGCTTGGTTTACCCCTCTGATCCGCGCGATCCGCGACCGCGAACCCAAAACAGAGCTTCAGATTGACTTTGCACCCCATCGCGCGCCGCACGCACAGACGCACACACTCGCGCGCGAATCATTTGAAAAGAATGACACTCTAACAACGAGCGTTCTGCAGTTCCACAAGCTGCGGGGGTGTTCCTCGGGATGTTTTTAAAAGCGCGCAGGTAACCTCCTCGTTGACCTTTGGGTGTCCCCCTCCCTCCCCCCCCCTTCCCGCGCGCCGCCACGCACCGCCGCGCACACGACCAGCATGTTCACCCAGGCGGCCACTAAAAACTTTTTCGTTCTATAAACTCATTTCATTTTCGAAAAAAATAAACTAAAGGAAATAAAGAGAGCCACGTTGGGGAGCGGGGAATAAGTGCGAAACGCATTGTGCGGTCTGTGAGGCTGCAGACTGAGAGTCGCTCTGTCTCTCTCGCACTCAAGCGGCATCGGGTATAGTTGCGAGAGAGACAGAGCGACGAAAACGACTCTCGGAATCAGTCCGCCGCGGTGTAAAGTTTGTCGCGTAATGGACCCACGGCATTTTCTGCAACAGTAGAGGCCATTTAGCGGCGCGGGTCGCGGTCCGCTCGTGTTTACAGCTGGACGCGTGCCTCGGACCCCTCGGACCCGCGGCTTGCCACGTCGCCGGCCACGGTGTCGCGTTGCCCGCGGCATTGTCCGCGGCACAGTTTACGATTTTGTGGAAACGAGTCCGATTCAGAGAGACCGGCCGACGAACGGCGGTTTTCGCAGCAAAACCGCGTTTTCGGAATCCGATACGGGCGCGGGACAAAATATGGAGCGGGTTTAAAACTGCGGGTAAGAAGAGCTGAGAGAGTGCGGGTTACTTACCGCCACCCTGGACTCCTTGAGGTCGAGCCGCAGCGCCAGCGCCTCCCTCATGAACACGTCGGGGTAGTGGCTGGCCAGGAAGGCCCGCTCCAGCTCCTCCAGCTGCCAGCTGTTGAAGTTGGTCCGCGAGCGCCGCCGCTTGGCCGCCTCGTCCTCGTCTGCGACAAAACAAAAACAAAACAACGTTACCGCAGAAACAGATTTGGGCATTTCAATGGGCCGGGCCGGCGATGGCCTGTCAACTTTCTTGATTGAATCCCGCCTCGAAAGTCGCAACAAAAAACACTTCGCGCCGAAACTAGCCGCCAAAGTCTGATGGTGTTTGTTCGTGATTTTCGTTTCCGTCGGCGCTGCTCACAATCAATCACCAGCCGCCTGCATTCGTATTCGTCGGACGGAAACACCCGAACGCGACCCGAACGCGGCCCGAGCGCGCGGCCCGAAGCCCGAACGGGCAGACTCGCGCGTCCCGACCGCCGCGGCGCGGCACTACTTATCAACCACGTTGTGTAATTTGGAGCGATAAGCGGCGAACAGACTGTCGCTTGAATGGCGCGTTTTATCGGAAACAACTTTTAAACCCGATTAAAGTGACGTCACCCCGCCATTCATGCCTGCGACGCGGTGCCCCGACTATGCCGCCCGTTGACAAGTTAGCGCGACCTCCTTGTTGTTGTGGAAAGTGCCGCCGTGGCCGTGCCGCCGGGGCGGCGACTCGGCGGTCCGTCCAGCTTATTGAAAAGGCGAGGTCGCTGCGCCTCGGACGCTAATTAATATTCCGCGCTCGAATCTGATCTGCACCCGGCCAATTATCACTCGATAAGCAAGTCTTCCACACACTCAGAGATCCGCGGCGACGGCCAGAGGGCACTTTCGACATATTTTCGCGCTCAAATTAATAATAATTAGATTACAGTCCCCCGATATGCGCGCCGCCTCGGCAGGCCGGGCATTAGTTGCCGCAGGATTTTGTCTTTTGCGCGATGCCGCCCTCGGCTAGGGTGGCCACCCTGTTGCCGCCCTCGGCTGGGGTTGCCACCTATGAGCTCGCTTGCCGACGGCGCACTTGAACGACACACACGGCATTGTCGTCGCGATAGAACCGAACAAAGTAAAAAAAGAGAGAGTAAACGAAACAGACTAGCTTATACGGCCCTGGTAATTAGGCCAGTGTTTGTGTGACAAGTCGTTATGCACTGCTGATGTAAATAAAAGGAAATAACCATAAAAATAAAGGCCACTGCTTCATGAGGTCTGTCCGTGTCCGTCCGCCCCTGCGCGCAGCACGTAAATCCCCACCCCCCTTCCCCCTCCCCTTTCCCGGTTGAGGCTAATTAATCGCGGCGTCCAAGGTATACGACCTCCCAGGGGGGTCATCGTGAGTCCGGAATTTCACTCGCCAGGACAGTGCGACCGTCCCTTCCGTCCGCGCGTCTTTTTTTTCTGACGTCAAGCAACGCGTCCGGTACGCACTGCTGGCCTCCTTTGACGTCACCCGACGATAGGGACAATTTGTTGGCGCGTTATCAGCACGCGTGTTCGACCGATACCAATTTGCTCGGGTGGCGGCAAAAATAAAGAGAAAAGAAAGAATCGAATCGATACACATTTCGTTGTTTTGCTTTCGTTTTTATTCTATACGGATGATAATGCCGTACTACAACAGTAATTGGAAAACTTTTCGCTCCGCGACCACGCAACCCATTCAACAAGGACTTCTCCACCCAATCGCCATCAGCGCGCGACACACAGAAACACAAAATAAAGCATAAAATAAATATATAAAATAAATACAAATCAACCGCGCGGCCCTCTCGCAATTTTTCCTTTCCATCGCGATGCAGCACGCGGCGAAAGCAGCAGCGCCGCCATGAAACACACGCGTGTGAAATTCCTGGCCGACGACGCCCCTCTATCGATTCAGATTATCGTGCGAATAATAAAAATGGCGGTTAAATGAAAACCACAAGGTCTGTATTTAAGCACCCAGGCCGCTCCGCGTCCAGTTTCCTCCAGGGCCTTAAACTCCCACAAAGGCGCGGCGAGTGCGCCCCCCCCCCCCTCCGAGGCCCCGCCACGCCCCTCCCGGCCCGATAATTATTTATTAGTTCTCGTGTTGGCCGCAGGATTAGCCCCGTATTTATTGAACAGAGCGACGCGGGCCCCAAATAATGCACAGGGCTCCCCGAAGGCGATTGAAATGTTATTACGGCCGGTTGGCTCGAGGAGGCATGGAAACAGGAGCGGTCGGACAAGGAAAAGGGGGGGGGGGCTCGATCAGTCGAGTCTCATTTTCGCGCGCCGCGATATAAAACGAAAACGTTCCGTGCGGCCGGGCGGCGCAGCGCGCATGGGCGGGTGACGAAGGAAACGGCCTTAATTACAATTTCGTCGGCTTGAGTACGCAGTAGTATGGTATACGCCCCGCGAGGCAGAACCCGGGGGGGGGGGGGGGGGGCAGTGGCCACAGTGTATGGCCGGCCTGCTCCCACACCTCACAAACCGTGCATCTAAGTAAACAATAAGGAAGAATTATGGCCGCCACGACGACCGCCAGTCACGCCACAGGCTTCCCGCCAATACCGTTGGACTATTTGTTTTTTGTTGGTTTTTACGGGGAAGGAGAAGTTTGTGCTTTTTTTTCAGGCAGATAATTGTTTATACTTTTCAATTAGACATCAAATTTAGACGAAAGGGTCTGGGAACTATTCTCGGTGGATTCTTCGAGACCCATGACCACCCAAAAAAGGCGATTCTTGAACCAAGATACTTGCCATAAGTGAATTTTCTTGACACATTCAAGAAAATTCACTTCTGACACACTTATGAAACATTATCTTGGCTCACGAAACGTATTTTTTTGGGTGACTGCCATAACTATGCTCAGTTCTAAGTCAAAGTGGCGACGACATCAACAATCCGGCAGCCAGATTCTCACTAAGCAGCAGCGGCAGCGCAGACACGCCGGGACGGCCGCCTGGAACTCACTGGACTTTAATTTCGGAAGCTAATTATATAGAGCGCCGGCCCCCGAGGCTGGCGCGGCTGGCGGGGCTGGCTGGCGGGCTTGCAGTCATGGCGACGGTGCGCCCCCGCGGGAGAATTTACGAGGCATGTGTTTTGTACCGAAGTGAGGATGTTACCATATTCCACGGTCCGCGGGCCACGGGATATAAGACGTGTTACGGTAATTTTGTGTTACTTTATTACCCCTCGTAGATTCTCATAAGACGACGCGCGCTTCTAACGTGTTTATACGTCCGCGGCGAGTCAGCGGCGTGGGCAGCCTGGTTTACGATGCACCGCGCGCAAAACACCGTTTTCGCCAACAGCTACACGACAGGGAGGGAGAGAGAGAGGGAGAAAGGGGGGAAATTGCTCAAAAGGGCCGGACTTCAGGTAATAATAAAAATAATAACATAATAAGAAGAATAAGAATAATTCGGTAAGTCTGATTCGTTTATGCCGTGTTGTCGGCCAGGTTGGCGGTTGGCGGCGCCGGACGGCGCCCCTTTCAATTACTCGCGATCGATCCACTTCTTTCGAATGGCTTTATTATTTCAGGGAAAAGAATTAGCTTGTCAACCGCAGTAATAACATCAGGTGGACGTGACGGACGGAGCGCCATCTAGCGGCCGCAAGCGCCCGGCAGTCGTCGCTGTCTCTCTCTCTCTCTCTCTCTCTCTCTCTCTCTCTCTCTCTCTCGCACCGACACGGGGCGTCCATGAGTGCGAGAGAGACAGAGCGACGGAAACAAGTCCGCAGCGCCGACAGTGGCGGCAGCGCTTTCGGGTCAAGCGCCGCGAGACGCTTCCATGCGACACGCCAAGCGCCGAGCGCCAAGCGCCGAGCGCCAAGCGCCGAGCGCCAAGCGCCGAGCGCCAAGCGCCGAGCGCCAAGCGCCGAGCGCCAAGCGCCGAGCGGCCGGCAAGGCAAATAACAATCTCCACGCCTAATAGGCGCGCGCTCCGATTTGGACACGCCGCACGCAAATTTGGAGTCGCGTGCCGCGTGCCGTGCCGCCGGGGTCGCAGCGGCGGCAGTTTGTTTTTTGTTTCGCTTGTCGGAGGGTGGCATACGACCAGCAGGCCGATTCCGAACAGTGCCTGCCCCTCTCGCACGGGTCGTCCCGCCGGGCTGCGAGGCAGACTGTCAGTGTGACGAAAGCATTCGGGACCAGCCTGCAGGCTAGAGACCTCGATCTGGGTGTTGAACGCCGCGTCCTGGGTGAGCAGCGAGCACGGCGGCGAGAGTCCCGCGGACGACTCCGGGGCACCGCGACCACGCCGACGTGCGTTTCGGTTCGGCCATTGGCTTGACGTGCACGTGATGGCGAGCACGCAGCGCGCACGCAAGAGCCCCCGGCACCGGGACCACCGCGGGCACCACCAGCTCCTCCACCACCAGCACCAACCACCACGGGCCGGCGAATGCCTCGGCGACAATCTGCATAAGCAGGGCCACGCGTGTGTGCGTGCGAGCCGGCCGATTGACACGCACACACACACACACACTCACACATACATACACACACACACACGGGCGCGCGCGCACGCACACACACACACACACACACACACACACACACACACACACGTCGCTGGGCGCAAGTGAAATGGCGGCGTGCCGTGATTGGCCACTTGGAGGCGGTGTCAACGCACCTCAATTGCGAGTAATGATATTTATAATTCCTGCCGCCGTTCCGCTGGCATGCGTGTTGTGCCCGTGTGTGTGAGTGTGTGAGTGTGTCCGCGCGTGCATGCGTGCGTGTCCCATGTGTGTGTCTGTGTGTTTGTCGAGGCAAATGCACTACTCTGATTCGCTGTGCGGCCTCTCGCGGCACGGCAGCAGTTTCAGTGAAAAGCCGCACGCCAGCCACAGACCATCCGAGACCGAAGAGCAAGTGAGTCTGGGTGGTTGGGTTGGATGCTTGATTGGGCGCACAGGGCTGGAGAGCTATGGTTTTCCCGCGACGGCTGTGAACCACTGTGAATTACCACAGACAACAGCACGAGCGTGTCTCACATTCGGTTCTGTGAGAGATTGCGCCAAGTCATACCTACACTGCGTTCAGGCAGGGACCGTGACAATTCGCTGGGCTCCTGTACGGCGCTTCTTCGCGAATCTTTGAATCTTTGACACAAGGGTCTCACCTTCATGGGCGCCGGGCGAGGCTGCCTCCTCCGACGTGGGGGTCATCGGCATGGAGCCGGGTGACGTCCTGGCGTCGGGCCGCTCGAAGGACCGCGTTCCGGACGGCGACAGAGGCGGGTGCGCCGGGTGTCCGGGGTGGCCCGGGTGGCCCGGGTGGGCGCCGGGGTGGCCGATGGTGCCCGGGTGGGGCTGCGGCTGGGGGATGCCCCTGAGCAGCAGCGCGGGCCGGTGCGGGGGCGGCGGCAGGCCCGCCATGGGGCCGTAGGGCCCCGCCATGGCCAGGCCGCGGTAGGCGTGCAGCAGCCGCGACATGACGTCGGAGCCCGCGAAGTTGACCGCCATGTTGGCGGGCAGGGGCCCGGGGCCGGGGCCCACGGCGCCCAGGGGCCGAGCGGGGAACATGGGCTCCAACACCATGACCGTCAGCGCCGCGGTCACCGCCTAGTCCGGCAGCACATGGTCCGGCGACGATGAGCACAGAACACAAACACAAGGCAGCTCCGGGCAATGCCACCACACTCTGCGTCCGCGCACTCAGTCACTCCCGTAATCCCATGGTCCGCGCGGCTCGGAAAGCACGGCTAGGCTCACTGCACGACTTGCCGCCACGATGGTGCACTCTGAACTAACCTCACTCTCCTCGCCCCTCGCCTCCAGCTGCCGAGCCAGGCAGCCCAGCGCCGCGCCTCCCCCACCACGAGGGAAGCCCCCACGCCGCGCCGCCCCGCTGGTGGGGGGGACGGCGGCCAACCATGCCGGCGGGCCGCGAGCCTCGCCCCCATTGGCCCGTCGACCGCCACCCTCCCCCACCACGGCCTGCGCGGCGCGGCGTAGCGCGGCGGCCTCCCTCCAGCCCTTCTTGGCGCGCCTCCTGTCTCTTCATTTCCACACAACGTCCCATGCTTCTTCCCCGCGCCGTTCTTCTTTTTATTCCCTTTCTTTTTTCTCTACTTTCATCCGTTTTACTTATCTGACAAATTTTTTCCTCGGGACCACATCTCTTTTTATTTTACTTGAAGCGCGGCGCTCTTTTTCTCTCAGCCCCTCGGCGAAGCCTCGGCGGGCGAGGGGGCGGGTGCCGGCCGGGGAGGGGCGCTACGGCACTGGAAGTGGCACTCGACTTAGCCCCCTCCCCCCGTGGGGCCCCGGACCCTCCCTGGGGCGCCGGGGCACGTGGGGACACCTGCGCCTCGAATTGAAACTCCCAAACAATCAGTGGCGCCACTAATGCGCGCCAAACTAGTCCCGCAACAAATAATACACAAGCTGATCGAGCTTTCATGGGTCCAATCACTCCTCCCCCTGCAACTGTTTTCCTCCGCTTTTAATGACTCGTTTCTTTCTTCGCTTGCGGTTTTTTTTCGGGCGGGACTTTGCCGCTGCCCCCTGCTAACGCCTCACGCCCCGAGATTGTCGCCAGATGGAAAGTCGTCAAGTGAGTTTTATTGCGTGGCGGGGCTGACGGCGTCATGACGGCGTCTTCACCTTGTCCGCGGGGACTTCCCTCGGCGGCAGACTGAATCCGGAGCGTCGTTGCTCTGTCCCTCTCGCACCTATTCAAGACGCCCCATGAGTGCGAGAGAGACGGAACGCGCCGTTTGGAACCAGCCGGCTGCCGCGCCGTCACGCCCTTGGACCAACAGATTTTTGGGCTCGAGGAGCATCTCCGTGCGTGCAGCAAAAAATAATGAATTTAAAAGATGAGAAATCGAGTTTGTAATCATTTTCTTGCAAGTGATGTCTTTGTCGATCCATATCGTTTGACTATATGCTATATGCAAAGACACACCGACACGACACGAAACACACACACACACACACACACACACACACACACACACACACACACACACACACACACACACACACACTCGAAACATGCCATCACCGCGCGTCATCTGGCCCGAGTCGAAAACGCCACTAAACCCCCCTCAAAATCCATTTGAACCCCTCTCCCTCCCTCTCTCTTCCTCCGCCCCGTTCACACCCTTCCCTGCAAGGCCTGCAACCCCAACCACTTATCACCGGCCCTTTTGTTTACATCTCCATGGTGACAGCCGCTGGCATTGTGGCGCTCCCCTCTCCCCTCTCCCCTCCCCCTTTCCCCTCCCCTCCCTTCCTCCTACCCTCCCCTCGATCCCCCGGCAGCCCTCGGGAGTGCGGCAGGCAAAGACCAACAGGCCAACAACAGGCCGCGTGTCGCCGTGCCTCGCCTCGCGGCGATGCGATCTGCCGGACACGTGCGCGTCAAAACATCTTGAAGCGGCGCAGCGCGGCGGAGCGGCGGAGGGGAGATAATTTACAAATGATGTCCATATAGCGGCTTATCTCTCTTATTTGACCGCCCCGTTCTGCCGCTCTGCCGTTCTGCCCGGCTAGCGACGAGTCGCCCCGATCGCGCTGTAATGACTCAGGGTGGGCCAGCAGACTGATTCCGAGAGTCGTCTTCGTCTCTCTTGCACATAGGAGGCTGCGCATGAGTGAAGGAGAGACGGAGCGTCGAAAACTACTCTAGAAATCAGTCTGCCTGCAGCCAGCCACCCTGTCGAACTCCCCATCTTTGGTCCCCCACGAGTCCGGGGCGTCTTGAGTCTGGAGCCTCGGCAGGGCCAGCTGGACCTCCAGCCAGTGGCCGCTGGAACGTCTGGAGCGCGCTGAGTGGCCGGAGTGCCTGCGGCCTGCGTGTCAGCCTGCGTGTCAGGCTGTGTGTCGGGCTGCGTGTCGGGCTGCGGCTCGGGGCCTAAATGATTGTGGACAGGGCGTCGGCTGGCGGGCTAATGCCCACACGGTGTCTCGGAGCACAGCAAGAGCACCATCAGTCAGGTCGGCTCTCATTAGCCGTCCCCGTTTTGGGCTGCTGCAGAGTGTGTCCGCGGACGACGCAGCGACGGTCCGCGCGCCGACGATCCGCCGCCGCCGCGTTCCTGGAGCTGCCACCGTTATTTGCGCTGCCGAGCCTCGTCGTGTCTTCCGTGACGGCGTGCTCGGCGTGCTCGGCGCGCTCCGCGGCCGCCGCGACGCCGTGTCCGCGCGCGCCTCGCGCTGCAAGTGAAAATGGAGACATTGCGTGCCGCCCCTAACGAGCTATACTTAGGCCCCTTGCCTAACTGTCTCCGCGCCGCGGTTCGGCCCGGAGTGCTCGCCGAGGCCAAGACCGCCGTAACTGCGGACAGTTACCGGCGCAGTTACGCGCCTGCGCGCCGCACCGCGTGGGAATGCCATCCGCAGTGGGACCGGCCGGCGCCAGCCCGAATATTTTACAGCTCATTACCTTTCAGCCACCGCGGTTCACATGGCCGCCGATCATTAACGGAAAAATGCTTTCCGGGAAGACGACGCGACGCGGGCTTACCTCGTGACTGGGGCGAGAGTTTTCGGTACCGAAACAGCGTTCGAGGTTTGATTTGGTCCTAGAGCACCTATGGTACTTCCACCACATACTGTCCATTGCCTCAACCCTGAGCCAGCGGCGTGCCTTTGCTATGCAGGCCTTTTCTTGGTGCCATCATGAATGTGGCAAACAGCCTCGGAACCACGAGCGAAACAAAGGACTGAACCCTTATAACGCACCGGAACAGCACTGCGGCAATGAGGCCCCCGGTGCGGTTAGGCTGTAACTTTTCCTTTGGTCGCCTCTGGATCAGGGGTGAGGGAATGGACAGTAAGCTCGGCTTTGACTCCGAAAACTGATTTTTTTCCCAAGTAGTTTGTTGACGTTTGGCTGGTCACGGTGACAGGGCCCAGCTAATGACGCGGCCGTCCAGGCAGGCCTCACGCCCCATCCCGACGTCCACGCCGTCCTCGCCGTCCTCCCCCGCAAAGCCTCGCGGCGCTCCCGTATTCGCCGGGCGTCGCGTGACTTGGCTCGCATGAACGAACCTCGGAATTGAATGGCGCCGACATTGAAACAAAACTCATCATAACGCGTCGCCAAGATGATGGACAAGCGCGGCGGCGTGGCGGCGCTCGGGACCAGCGAGCAGCCCAGAGAGAGAGAGAGAGAGAGAGAGAGAGAGAGAGAGAGAGAGAGAGAGAGAGAGAGAGAGAGAGAGAGAGAGAGAGAGAGAGAGAGAGAGAGAGGCCGGAGAAAATTGGAAAGTAAGGGAGGGTGACAGGAGCTGACAGAGCCGTCAACTACTCCATAAATCATGGCTCGGATTCCAGATTTCCAGCGCGTGATTTTGGATAGGGAGTGAACTCGGAAGGGGAGGGGCTGCGGAGGCCGGGGGGACTTTGCAGAGGCAATCAATAATGGAAACGGAAATCAGATCATCTCGAGACTCGATTCTTCAACACGGTTTCCGCGCTCGTTATAAAAACCTGTGGCGTTTCAGCGCGTTTCTGCCGTAGGGGAAGTGAGACACTTTGCATTGACACACACGGCATATTTACTTTGGCTCGGGGCGCATGCGCGCTGTGTGGCCGATGCACGCACGCCCCTGTTGTTGTTTCGTCCATCAACAACAACAACATCCTCGATCGCGTGCCCCGCGCACGGGCAGGCCTCGTGCCCCGCGAATCGCGGCGTCCGACAACTCATTCTCGGCCTTCTTCTCTTTCTCCTTTTCCCCTTCTTCTTCCTCCTCCTCTTCTTCCCTGAAGTGCAGTGGTCGCGTGGACCGGCCTGGAATGTGGACGTGTAGCAGGTTCGCTCCGTGATGCAACTCGAGATGGAGTGCGTGTGCGTGGTCGTCTGCGGTGTGTTGACCAAAACGGAAAAAAAGGCATGCCACTCCGGAAATGTTCCGCGGCCGAGGGGCGACCCAGTGTAAGATTTTGTGTAGTGAATGTGCAAGAATGTGCAAGATTTCTAGCGTTTTTGCCACACATGTTGCCTACTTACAGGCGTTTTTGCCTTCTGAATGTGGAATGTGGTCAAATTTTGTACAACGAAGGTGGGAAGCTGTTCTTCCCTCGTCCGCGACACTCTGCGCGCCATTTTTTTGTTGCTTGCACGCAAGGTGCTTCGGTTCTGCACTATTCCTGCACCCAGTTGATCCGATTCCGCTTTTTCAACCTATTCAATTCACATTTAACATTCATTTACGTATTTCTGTTGTGTAGATCATTGAACCACCCGTCGTATGCCTTGTTGACCTCCCGACCTTCCCGACCACTTCAGCACTGACCCGACTCCTCGGACTCCTCTCACTAAGTCCGACACCTCTTTTGCAGTGTCGCGCGCGCTTGCTTCACGGCGAGACGCACTGCGCGTCTTTTGTCTCGCTTAATGAGCGGCTAATTAAAAATGGCGCGCTTTGGACAAGTTGCCGGCAGAGCAGCGCGAGCAACGCAGCGCAGGAAGTAGTAGTGCGAGATTAGGCAAAGCAGCCAAGTCCGGGGAAGGCGGCGCGAGGCGGCGTGCCACTACACTGCCAGCCAGAGGGGCTGCTTCGATTCTCTCTCATTGTCACTTTGTTGGCGGCATGTTAAACTCGAGCGAGGGGGCGGAGTGGCGCCCTCCCCTTCCCCCTTCCCTCTCGGTGTAACTAACTCACGTAGCTTGTTCGCCGTCTCTTTGTCCCCTCCGGCGCCCTCCAGCAGTCTGACTCCGAGAGTCGTTTTCGTCGCGCTGTCTCTCTCGCTCCTACACAAGCCGCCCCATGAGTGCGA